TGCATCCAAAGGCAGTCTGATCTCCCACTGGTGTATTACATACTTCTGGAGGGAACTGGATCTTGCTCCCCCACATTCCCAGTTTTGGGGGAACTGACAGGCTAATTAGGTCTCTATTAATGTATGAAGGAGCTCACAAGGATACTTTAATTTGTATGCTGGTAGAAATTGCCATTTTACTGCTTGAGTCACCTGAGGAACAACAGACGTACAGTGCAGTGCCATCTCAGCGCTGGCTTTTTCCCACTCTTGCCTCTCTGGAATTTGCTACCAGGCACATAAGTGGATCTAAGCCATTTCCAGACAGAGAATTCTGCAGGGATATTAGCTTTGTTTCTGGCCCGAAGTGCAAAAGAGCCTCTGAGGTGGTCATTGTAAGAATTTTTTTCCCATTTTAATATCTTTTTGCCCTGGCTTTGGGGCTGCAAGGCATCACTGCTTAGAAACAGTGCATATCTCTGAATCAATGCTGTAGGAGAGGTCAGGAAGAGGAATAGATAAGAACACACACAGAAAGAGAGTTTGTTTATAACAGTATTTATTTAGCATTTTTTCAAATTCCTTTGGGTAACAGAAAACATTAAACACAGAGGTAGTTCCAGACAAATGAGAATGATTTGAATTCATAAGAGGTTTGGGGAAGTGAAAGAAATGAAAACTGTTCACACACAGAATATATTGACTTGCATTAACTAGAAAAGCTTGAATTACTGCTTGTTCAAAATTGTAGAAAATATTTACAGATGATATTGCTAACACATCAAACCATTTCCCCCACTTTGTCTTCCCCTTCTTTACTTCTGAGCTTTTTCCCTTCTGTGTTTTTCTTCTCCTTTTTTGGTTGTTCTCGACTTTTTGTCAGTTTTCAGTTTTACCCTTCCAGTCAATACATTTTTTCCCTCATCTCCCCTTTTGCCTTTTGTGTTGCATTTACTCTGTCTATAATTTGTCTCCCATGTGCCTTTTTTCTTTTGTATCACTTGCTGTGATCACTCTCTCTCTATAATTATTTAGATATTTAATTTTCCTGAATCACTTTATATTTTTTTGTCTTAAAAGAAAAAAATTTAAATGGGAAAGGCAGCTTTCAGTTAAATATTAAAGCTGCATAATGGGCTGCTTGCTGTGTTATATACCTTCATGTTATCCTGGCACAAACTGACAAAGGAGATAAAATGAAGGATCAATGAGAGAAAAAAAAAAGTGTTGACTGTCAGGATCACCATGAAAGCATGGTATAATGACAAGTATTAACCTAGACATTCCTTGGGATTCCCTTTTGGTGTCATCTCTGTTCTGAGTATTGGTTTCAAAACTGTAAAATGAAGATTTTGGAACTTCCATCCCTCAAAGAGGCAATGTAAAGACAAATATATTAGAAGTTTGAGGGGTGACCAAATAAAAAGGTAGTGACATCATGCAAGAATGAATAACAGCTAACTTCAAAGTGGCAACAGCTTGACAAACACTTAAGCTGTTGACAAAATATTTAAGTGGATTTTAGATTGTGTATTTTCAAATTTGTTGTCAGCTGCTAAAGAACACAATAAATTTTCCAACATTTTATTTCCCATATGAGCTCTCGAGACAACTAAATCTCATCATACTATCAAAATATTTTTGAGATACATTCCCTTTTCAACTCGATTTTGGAAGATGAATGTTTTCCAAGACCAATATATCATCTAGATAATTAATAATAATGCAGAAGAAATGGATAAAATATTTCTATAAATCAGCTATCAGTTTTTAAAATGTTGTAGTTCTGAAAAGAAATATGAAAATTGTAACTTGATTTAATGAAACATTTGCAGGATATCTTATTTGTTCTATTTTTATACAATCATTTTTTCAGAATAACCAGTTACTGGGAAGTGAATTTTGTACATGCAGTTCAAAATTCACAAAATAAAAATAAAGTGAGCAATCAAGGATGAAGAGTAAATGAAATAGTGTTAGCCTCAAGAGCCTCTTTCAATAGCTCTTCTGACATCTCTGTAACATTTTAGTAACATCGGCAGGAAAAACATTTATCTCACTGCTGGAAAAAGAGAAAAGATGGAATAATGTGGAAAAGAAACTACAGCAATGAAGTAAAGTGATGACCAAGCTTTGGTGTAAATTAAGTATTGTTAATGGACCATAGATGTTAGAGCCTTGATACGCTGAAGTAAATGATTATATTCCCACTGAGTCAGTGGGAGTGAGGTTTTCATTCTAATTTCAGACTTAAGCTTTGAAAAGACTTCATAAGTAAACACTTGAAGTTCCTCAGATGCCTTAGCTGAACGTATATTTTTATTTTAGAGTAATCTGATTCACTTAAAGCTGCATGACTACTGTCAGAAGTAGGAATGTAGGATTTGGTGTTTACACTGCAATCCCTACAAAATGGGAGAAGCATTTTGGGCAGTGCCTGTGTTACTGTCGCTGAAAGGAAACAGGTTCCTTTACTCATAATTCTACTGGCAAAACAAATGAGGTAAGACTGTTAGCAAATGCTTTATTTCAACACATAATTTGTTACTTAGCATTTTCTTCATGTTTACTACTGTTCATTGTTTGCTTTCAGAATTAATTTTGATAAAGCACCATCATATTACAATGAATAATCAAGGAGTGGCCCAAAATAATAGATTAATGTTTAATCAGTCTTTTACTTTCCTAGCTTCAATGATTCTAATGATTGGTAGTGTAAATTTAGCGACAAAAATTCCTAATAGACATTACAGAGATAAATGCAGTTCTTCTTGGTTCATAATTGCTTGTAATACTACCTTTCCAGGTGCTCTGAACATATTCTATTGGTGGTATTTTAATGTCTAATATAGAAGGTTGCAAATATTTTATGTATACTATTAATAGAATTTTGCCATTGGAAAATATTCAGAAATAAGTTTTTATCTAAAAAGATGCAATTGCGTGTTTTAGGAAATGAAATCCAGTGAGTTAGCCTTACATCATGAATATTTATTTTTGTCTTTGTAGTGTGCTGAGCACCACTTTCAGGCTTGGTCTGTAGGGTGTGTATCTCTACCTTTCCAAGTTGAGAGCTTCATTTAATCTTGACCCCAGAAGAGAGTTTCTCATCAAGATATCTGGCCATAGCTTCAAAGGGAAGCTCATACATCTTTTGTGTTCCTCAAACAATGGTACTCTTCAAAATTGCCAAGTATTGGCCACAAAAAGGGAATAAAACTATGTTTTGTCTCTTAATCTAGTGGCCTCTGCAAGTGACTTCTGGAGGCCTTGCACTTGGATGACTTTCTCTTTTGTGCATTTACAGTTGCATCTACTTGTTAATCATAGCCCTTGCTGTTCCCTGATGTTAACAGGAATTATATAAATGATTAAATAAGGACAAAAATAGTACATATCTTATAAAACAGAAATAATTTATCCTTGTAGAAAAGATCTTATATAAGTAAGATCATTTTTAAGTGGTGAATGGCCATCTTTGACTCAAAAGTAATTGGCATGGGCTTCTTGAAAAGTCTGAGAGAAGAAAGTCCAGCTAAAGCCAGTTTTGAATCACACTGATGAGCCAGGGAATTCCTAAAACTGCCATACAAACAAATTGCTTTTCCCATTTTCAATCTTTCCTCATCAGCAAATGCATGGAGATAATCCCAAGATTTTCTGAAGAGTTAGAGACAAAACACATTTAATAAAAGTAGGAGATGGGGAAAATGGCGCTTTTTTTCTTTTCTTTTTTTTTTTTTTTTTTTGAGAGAGAGTTTTTGGGCAAAGTAACTGAAAGAATCTTTGCAAAACTCTTTGGACAACCTCCCTCTGTCCTCAGAGATTTATACAGGATAAACAGAACAAATAGTGTCCCTGCATGTTTGTTTATCTATGAAGCTTCACCACACAAAAAGTAATGATACCCTTCGATTAATATCATCCAAGTAATAATATCCTTCTGACTGCATCATAGGAGTAATAATAAGCTTTCAACTATTTCAATGAGTAATGTATTTTTGACATTTTACATAAAAATAAAAAGTCTCTTTAGAAATACATACCTCCTATTTGCTCTAGCACAAATTTTAATATCAATAAAATTGTTGTGGATTTGAATGCAGATTTGACCCATTGTACAAAAGAAGTAATAAAATTCTAAGAGACTACTTACTTCCACAGTTTTCTTCATAACATTAGGATTAGGCAATTAATCTGTTTTAATAAACTTTTTGTCACTATTCCACATGACAAGCATACATTAGCAGACAAGGAAGGAACAGGGTGATATACAAGGCTTTTCAAAACTCCTCTGTTTTGTTTAATTGGATGTTATTTATCATTCAGCAAATTAGCTTCGAGAGGAAACTGTTGCTCATACAGAACAGAAGCATTAATACTAAGATACTGCATAGCAAGATAGTTTAGTTAAGCAGTTGCTCTTAGGCTGTTTATCATCCAGTCTTATGTTGACATGTAAAGACTTTTCCACATGACACAGTAGAAGGTTGTGTGAAATTGTTCATAACAAAAATGCACACTTTCTTCTTCCAAATTTTTACTTTAATTACCTAATATAACAGAGATTTAGTGCAATAAGATAATATGTATTCATTAGAGCACTCTGATTGGATTGCTTCTTGTCATAAGGTTTTATCATTAATGTAAAATACATTGCAATTTTGATATTTTCATTAAGCCAATATCTTTTAAATCTGAAGTTCTACCAAATTGTAAAAGAAGTTAACTGTGTTACTGTTTATTGAGCTTGATTTACTCCATTGAGCTTTTAATAGAATCAGATAACATACATAGATCAAAGAAATCTCCTGCTTAAGAGGATTAGTGAAGTGCATGTTAACTTTTTCATGCTACCAGCGAGACTTCTTGTAACCCAACCAATAGAACAAGTGCATTGCAGAGGTATGAATCTTGGGACTTAGACTTGAAGAAATTCTGCAGTCACTGGCTATAGCTTATTTCAGAACAAGTTCTCTTTTCTGTGACTTTGAGCTGTTAGAACGCCCCTTTTACTGTGACTGCATTCCCATTTGAACTCATGATAAAAGCAGGCTTTCAAAGCTGTTCTAAACTGAGCTCTCTTTTTGCCTATTCATTTAAAAAACAAGTAGTAGAATTTGTCTTACATATAAAACAAAATTCACTGATTTGTTCTGTTCACATGTTGAATTGCATTCTGCCAGTAATGTGAAATCATATTTCATCCATTTGCAATAATAGTTCTCTGTAGCTCACTTCCTGTAAGCTAGTTTTGATAGCTTTGAGACTGAACAGCGTGTAACCCTATGAAGAATTGTGGTTCAATTGGTGGAATCAGTTGCAGTAGTAATTTTAGGATGTGCCTGTCATGTATGAATAAACCATATAGTATTACTTTAAAATTATTTTCATGCTAAACCATCTGCAACATCTTCTTTCTTCTCAAGATTTTAAAGAGGCCTAGTTTTGTACTTCTTTGGCTCTGAAGGTTATTTTCCAATTTGCTTAGAGCCACATACTTTTCCGGTTGAAGCCTTGATTCCGCAAATCTTTAAGCACATGCTTAGTTCTACCTAGTGACAAAATTTCTTATATACTGACTAACAGAGTAAAAAGTATTAATAAGATTTGATCTTTATTTGTCTTTCAGGAAATCTTTTACACTCCTCCAAATACTTCAAGCAGCCCTTTTATTGAGCAAACTATGCCTGCGAGGCTACAGAGGAGGCCCAAAATAAAAACAGAGATATCTGCACATTTCTCTAAGAAGGACAGTTTTTTCCATTTAAGTTTTAAATGGAAGAGAGAAGGAAGGAGAAAAGTCATAGCAGCACCTGTTACACTGCCTGATAAACCCATCAACAGGGCAAAATGTGGTGTAAACATGGCCATCAGCAGAGTTAACAAGAGAAATGAGCCTCTTACACCCAGCGAAAGTAATAGAGATCTGTAATTGGAATGGTTGCCTTTAGAAATACAGGAATACACAACTTCTGTGGCTGCAAAAAAGGGCAAAGGGTAAGAAAGAAGAGCCTTGGTTAAGAGACATAAATTCACAAGTGTTTTAAGAAATGATGGCAGGTTGTCTGTAATAACTTCCTTTGTTTCTTCACCCCAGGTCAAGAAAGCGGTCAGTGCAAATGTTGTTTTCAAGACACAGGCAAAAAAGTGAGTCCAATTCAGCATACACCTAAATTCCTCTGGGTTTTTCATGTTACCTTCAAGTGTGGGAAGAAATATTTGTGAAGTGTAACTGAAAATAATCACTCCTACGGAGACCAAGAAGTCCTCAAACTCAATGGAGAGTCTGAATTTTGCCCAGGACCACTGGTGTATTTGTGTAAGACAGTAAGTCATCACTACAAGGATGATAACAAAGTGAACCAAGGAGCAAAGCTGGCTGAGTTTGGAAACAATTTTGAGAGTTCTGATAAATACACAAGGTAACAGAGTAACAAATGCAATTACAGACCAAGTTTTCTCAGTCAGTGCTATGTATGGAAAACTCTGTGACAGCAAGTTCCCACTAACAATCAGATACAAAATACATGTCATGATCAGTTCCACCACTTGGGTCACATTGACAATTATGCCACCTAGTTTGGGAGATAGCTTTTTACAGCAGGCATTTGCAATATCTTCATACGTGTCTCTCACTCTTACCAGTTGCCCATCTTCATTTTCTTCATACAAGCAAACAATTAGAATTTTGCCTGTGTAACAGCATAATGCTGCAGCCAAGACAATAAGAAGTAGGCCACTGTATCCACTGTGGAGGAGAGCATATGGCAATCCTAGGACAAATATTCCCTGAAAATGAAAAAGAGAAAGAAAAGATAGCACATAATTCCTGAGGCAAAATGTTTACTAGAAGCTGCACTCCCAAACCTCTCCTCCATTGAACATTGTTTTCACCTAGTTGCATGCTATAAGTACTGCTACATTCAGCTAAGTAAGTAACAATCATGAGAAATGTGTTTATTTATGAGAAATGAAATTATCAGCAAAAATAACTGCTACTATCAAAGCACACGTAATGATAAGCTGGGAAAAAGAGAATGTGACTGAATGATAAAGTCAGGTTTCCAGTTAATATTTAATGCTGATGTGATTAGAAGCACATTTAAGAAGGTTCATAGTTAGTTATTCAGTCAACATACATACTAATGAAACGGATTCAATATCAGTAAAATTAAACAGCTGTAGCATCATCTGTGCGAGTTTCATTCCAATTAAAAATAGCACTGTAGATAGATCCAATAATGACAGTTGTCTTTAGCCTAAAAGTTGTTAGCAGACCTCTGGAGAGAAAATGGCATTAGAGTGCCTCAGACTAAACTTGTGTTTCCTCTGCAGCTTCTGTTTTCCTCATGTGGCCTTTGCTCTTGCTAAGTCCACTGCTAAAGTGATTTTTCTCGAAGCTGAGATTCTAGACTTCTTCGTCTAGAAGTGTAAACTTCTTTGGATGTTTAAAAATACATGCAAGACATATAGACTTTTTTTTTCTCTAAACAGTTTCTGAAAGGAACATAGTTTTACTTGTTTTATCCAGTGGGAAAAAACCCCAACAACATGACATTCTAGTTTTGCAGAACACTGTGTGTTTTTCTCCCTTTCTTCTCTGTATTAAAGGACAAATTACACTTTTATGTGGTTTTTTTCCATCAGAATAAAACCCAAAAAACCCTTGAATGATAGTTACTGATAAAAAGATGTCGCCGGGACAGAGAGATTTCTCTGAACAATTTTTCCTGCACTCTGTAGGCCTTGCTTGCCATGGAAGTGACAAGCGTGTATTGTTTATACTTATAGACTGTGAAAATATGTGATGCTTATACTTGTTAGCTGTGTGTCTAATTATAAGGTTTGAGAACATAATATGTTTATAGAAAGAAAACCTTGAGAAACTGAAGATAATGAAACACCTGCAAATTTAGTAAAACCCTAAAAGCAGATTAATTAGAAAGAGGTTTCTATGCCAAGGATGATTTCAGATCTCGTGGACAGAACATCAGGTCCAATGAACTGGAGACATGAGACGCGTGCACAGACTGAGCTATCCAAGCCTCTTATTATAAGCATGTGCCCTAAACAAACTAAACTGTATAAAAGTTAACTGATTTAAATAATAAATTGACATATTGTCGATCCTAAGGGTCTGTGAATAATATGTTCATGCCTCCCCATCGATAAAAAGATCCAATTTAAGAAAGGTGACATTTCTCTTTTTATACTACAGAACTGAAATTAAGAAATGCACATTAGTCACACTGGTCAGGTATTTTTGTTCATGACGACTGAAGGATAGTGAGGAAATAAAATACAATTAACTAGTTCTGCAGAAACTTTTGCTTTAATATTTCTTACCACACACATAACATGATGAAATCTGAGCATTTGTGCTCACGTTTGCTATTCTGGTCTGACAGAAGGACTTGATTTGCATCAAACCCATCTAGACTCTATTTCTGACCAAACCTGAGCAACCCCATCTGCTCTGCAAAACCCTGACAGAAACAGATCTCCTGACAGAAGGGGGGACTCTTCTCTCACGTATTGATTGGACAGTGCTACTGACTGCAGCCAAAGCAGAAGAGGTGAGTTTAGTGGTCTACGTCTTAATTTCAGACTTTTCCATCTACAAACATGAGCACAAGGTCGAGTGGGGGACCAGAGTTTCAGACATTCTTCTGCCTTTGGTATTTTCTATCAACTATCTTAGGTTTTATACCCATCAAACAGTTTCTGTGAAGGCAGTGTAGGAGCCCAGATCTGAGGGAGCTCATCAAGAAGGCGGGCGCTTGTCTCAGCTTTGTAGGGCTTATACCTAGCACCCCAGTTCTAAGTGATACAAGTACGTCCACACCTGATCCATTAGGAGGACTCTGAAGAGAGGCAATTTTTCAAACACTAAATAATCATTAATGTATAAAAAAGTATTATCCTTCACTTCCAGACACAAAATAGCAATCCTTTTCGGGCAGATTGTGAGATGAACATTAACCAGAAAAGAAAGATTTGAAGTCCTTGAATCAGAGCAGTGTTTCTTCTCTAAGTCAATGAGAAAAATGGAGTGCCCATCATATGAAAGAGCATCACTACCTAATTTACCAGGTTTCACTCTAGATGCAGATATCTTCAGCTTTTAGCTGACTTAGAGCTGGAAAAATCATATTAAATATATGCCTTAGTAAATTTCACTTAAAAAGGTCTATGCCTTTCTATTTTGAAATAGAAGTACTTCAGTTATTATTACTGATATAATAATAAAGTTATTGACTAGGTATTTTCTTCATTGTTTTCCATGACTTCATTTACAGCATTTGTTTTATGTAAGTCACATATGCTATTTCATTTAGAAGCTGGGATGTTCAGCTATGCAGCTTGTGGTATTTAGGCACCCAAATCTCTCCGCTCAATATCTTATCTACATTCTAATGCAGGTCTCATGACCCAATTAGCTTGAAGTGTAATTAGCATTTCTTTTGTACATGAACTTCACAGAATTGTCCAAAATTGTACCATTTCTACCATCTAACAGTCTACTTTCATAAAAAGATTAGATATCTGGATGTTTCCAGACTGCAGGTAGCACATATGTAACAGCAGCTTTTGATATGCCATTTTTAATCATGGCTTTCACTGACTGGCAAGTTAGATAGCTACCTAAAGAACTGAATTTGGTTTCTTTCCTATGAAAACAATCCTTTGGGAAGATTGACATAACAGATAGATTTTAAAAGCATCACAAATAAACCAAGTCTATGAAAAAATCAGGAAGATAAAACCATAGAGTCATCTTCCATATTAACATAAGAACAATGATGTTTTCTCAGTTCCTTGCAGTCTGTATAAAGCTTATCTCATTTGTTCTATACTCCCAGCACTATTATTTTGCTGCTTAACCTGCAACTGGGACTTAAAATGCTATCTGCTGACCCAAAGGGTCACTGTATAATTAAACTGCAGGTAAGTGTCAGCATGGGCCTTACCCACACAATGGCTTCTCCCCTGCTGAATTTAGTCAATTAACATTTATACAACTAGTCTCAACCTAAACCAAAACAGAAGACTTTGAGAGAGGTTATTGCTTTCGACAGTCATTTACAGTCCTGACCACAGGTGTCTGCTTTTCCATGCTTAATTGTTAATTTAATCAGAGCAAAACATAATTCCAAATTTTAACATCTCCTTGCCATAGTTCATATCAAATAATTTAATTCAGTATCTAACACAGACCACAGGATGATAGTGGGGGGTTTGGGGCTGATTTTTTTTTCATCTTGTGAATTCAGACCTTATTAAACAAACCCATTTTTGTCTCTATATACTCGATCTTAAAATTATGTATCAGTGGTTGTCAGTTTCAAGTTTAGACTTTAGTATTTACAAATTGGACATTTCTACGGAAATTGTGAGCTTCTGACATCTTTGATGTCTATTTCCCAGAGTGTGTAAACTTCAGCTCTCAATTACTAATAGAAAGCAAACATTGTGGACATAACTGATTTTGCAGCTTTTTGGATATAGAGCATGGTTAGTTGAGAGACATGGGAGGACATTGAATATGCCAATGCAGTAAGTATATATGTGGTGAAATGACAGTGTTTTTCCTGCCTTGTCAGAAATGGTTTCTCCATTAAATAATGAGGAGAAGGAGGAGGAGAAGAAGAAAGAAGAAAGAAGAAAGAAGAAAGAAGAAAGAAGAAAGAAGGAAGAAGAAAGAAGGAAGAAGAAAGAAGGAAGAAGAAAGAAGGAAGAAGGAAGAAGAAGAAAGAGAAGGAGAAGAAAGAAGGAAGAAGAGGAAGAAGGAGAAGAAGAAGAAAGAAGGAAGAAGAAGTTGTTGTTTCATATATCAGCACATTGGCAAATTTCTACAAAATAGCCAAAAACGTTAGTGATGGCCACAAGAACTCAAAGAACAAAAGTCACACTGTCAGACTTTAAAACTCAGTTTGTATTTGCTCTCCTGTTCTTACCTTTCCAAAAGCAATAGTTTCTGTTAGGAAAATTTTCTGAACATTGCCAAGTTTGAATAGCTTAGTTTAGAAAAAGATATCATTAGTAAGTTCTTATTTTGCTGTCAATGTAATATAACAGGTACAGGCATCAATCTGTATTCTCTGGTTTGCGGCTCATCAGCAACCTTAGAACATTGCTTAAAGTGACTTGCAGATGAGGAAAATTCCTCCTCCATAGAGAAATGCTTTCATGAATGTTGCTGAAAGTGGCTGTTGTGCCCCTCTCGTGGGAAGTGAGTGCACACAGAATGCAGACACAGCATGACGGTATTTCACTGATTCCTTGCTAGTGGAAGAGGGGCTCAGGTAATTCCTGTACCATTTGTCAATGCACATTGGGTCCAGTCTGGCCCCAGGACTTGCTCTTACTGAGTCTTCTGATCCTGTGTTCTTATGTCCAAATTATGGCATAGACAGCCTTAGCAGTGAGGCATCAGTTAAAAATGAGCAGCAAAAGGAACTAAATTGCTCTAAATTGTTCCCTAAATTGCCTCTCAGCTTTTAGTTTCAGCGGTTCTGTCTGGAAAGTGTTCCTGTCCGAGCAGTTTTATTTCCAACTGTTCTAGAGCAAAGTCAAATACATTACCTCTAAATATGTTGCTTTAAGGTCATCTGTTTAGAAAATAGAATAGCATAGGGAAAAAGCACCAACATATCTGGGGACAGAGGAGGTGAACTTTTTGAAACAGTCCTCTGTCACTGAGCAGCTTGAGTGGTTGTGTTATTTGCCATCACTCCCTCCACCCAGTGTAGGAAAGGAACCGAAATTCTCACCCTAGACTGTGGATG